AGAAATGCCCACTACATACCACCAAAGGTAAGTTAAAAAAGAAATATAATAAACACACACAGCAAGGGATGTACAGTATTCTGCTGCTGCACTATGATCAGGGACTTTTTGTCAATAAAATGTTGTAGCAACCCAATATAATAAGAATGAATGGACAGTTTGTTGAATCACTGAAAAATAATGCACACCCGAGGTGGCAAAGTATTATTTTTCATTCATTTAATGGTCTGGAGACAATTGTTCCACAGTTTTTGTAATTGCTAAGACATATCTTGAAACCTTCACCCATTTTCTAACAACATTAAACAAAACCAAATCGTCAAACTAAATTCACAAAACCCCTGACCTTTCTGGCAAAATCAAACAATTTCACCTGTACTCAAAATTGAACAGTGCTTTCAGATCATGCACACAGCTAGTCAATATATAAACACTACAGATCAGTCATTAGAGACTACATACATTGTATAGTATTGAATGTCTGCGTATTCAGCACTTGCATACTGTAAAATGTAATTATATATTAAATTCAAAGGAGAGGATATCAACATTTTGTGGCATTAGCATAAATGAGTGTTTTTATATCTTCAGGACCCTGGATACTCCTGTGAAATGCTGGAAGAGTCTGTGCAAAAGCATCAGTATCCTCAGGGTGAGGTTTGGAGAGCCATAGAGCAGCAGGGGAAACAATAAATATGAACACATACTGTATGTGCTACTGACTGCGATGTAAATAACATTACTACTTCCATAACTAAACTTGAAGTCCTGTCAGATTGTCTTGATTGAGTTGATTGGCAGTGCAAAGGAATGAGAAGGGTAAATGGACAATGAAATGTTTTCTTTGCAGACGAATATGGAAAGTATTACTCCTTTATAAGTTTGACCATTTTTAATGTTCCTAAAAGATAAATGCTTATGTTGCAGTCAGAAATGATGAAATGTACTCTGCAGCCAAAGAAGGGAATGGAACAAGTGTATGCTAAAACTACTGCTGTCTAGTTTGGGGAAATTACTAACAATGGGGAATTTTATTTGCTTATTACAGTTTTTTTTTTAATTGCTTACACACTAAAAGTTGTACTTGAGGCATACAACTCAGTAAAACCATTCACTCGTATTCCTAATCTAATTCCTAATTCCTTCATACAATACAGATTGTTTCAAAGCAGTACTAACAAATTAAAATTCTGCTTTTAAGCAGCTCTAATAAGCAAATAGTGTCAACTCAAGTCAGTTCAGGTTTTAATTAGTTCAGCTCAGTAACATCAATTGTATACACACTGTCTATTTTTGCATATACATGTAAGTCTGTGTGCTATGACAAACTCCTGTGCACTCCACGACACACTGAACAAGCAAGACTCTAGGTAGTATTTGCCATATCCGTATGTAGTTTGGTGTATATGGCAAATCATTTGACGTTTGTGTGTAGAGTTACTATGCAAAAAGAATTTTTTTTTTATAAGAATTAAAATAGTTTTGAAAGAAGTGTTTGCTTTTGCAAGAGATGTGTAATGTTTTGTGTGTAGAGTTTAGAGAAAACAAGCCATAGTTGCAGAAAGTGTGTTTAAGCAATTGTAAAAACTGTAATATAGGGGTAGAGTGGTGCAACATGTAGCTTTTCTATTTTTGTGTTTCTTAACATAACTATTTTTGTTTTCTTTTTCTAAAGTGATTCCTGTTAATAAACATTAATAAGAGAAAGTTGTGTCTGTTAATGCTGTTGTGCTCTGCTTTGCACCACCTGCTAATTTTAGGCAGATGATATAGTAAAGCAGGAATTTATTTTTTCCACACAAGAAATGGACATGACAAGAGTCGTTTGTTCAGTTATATTGGCAGTAAATCTATTAATGTTGGAGAAATGCTAATCCAGTGTGATAACTGATTTCAAACTTTATAGTTTCTTAGATATACACTGTAAAAATTATTGTTTGAAGTTGTAAATAAAACAAAGATAATTGGAGTATGGTTTAGAAAATACTATTTTAATCTTTCCACTTCAAAATTCATGTTCAGTTTTGTTATAATTATGTGTGAAATTTATTTATCAATTTCCTTACATTATGACAATGGTGGACATTATGGTGTACTGAAAATAAATTTGCAATGGTTAGTGGACTATTTTTTGCATTGAAATGCCATGTTTAGCCATTTCTTGATATTATCAATCACTCATACCAATAACCC